AAGCCCATAGATTGATCAATATTTCTAAGAAGCATGATTGGAGTACCGACCTTTAACGTGAGCACATGGTTTGGAACACCTGAAGCTCGAATGCCATTTAAAAATTCTGGTGAATGTAAATCAGATAAAACATCCACGTTTGAGTCTGACTTACAAATGCTATCCGAGCTTAAGTACGTTTTAGATTCCTCTTTCACATTCTTTGATGTCATGTAATCATTAACAGCATCTACCACATCTAACGTTGGTGCTAGAATGGCTCTATGTTGCAAGTACGATGGGTCGTTTGCGATGATGTTAAAATCTGGGTATGTTGATTGCACAATTGCCTCGATGGGATCATTGCAGTATTTCAAAACAATATCATCAGGAAGAACAATTTTTGCACACCCATCCTTTTCATCGCCTACATTCCCATCTCCAATATTAGCAATCCATTCCGCAAATTCAACCAAACTATGATAGTTTTCTGCGTGCACCATAGATTGCAATCTCATATTTTCTGTTAAACGCAGAACTGTACAATGTTCCCAAAGGTATGATGAATTGATTGTTGCATTAACAATATCCTGTCTCGTTCCCTTAGGAATTACTGGTAAGATTTGACGAAAGTCACCGCCAATATCCTGTCTCGTTCACACTGTCTTGTATTCCCTCTGTCCTATATAAAGACAGACAGGAACGGTTTAACTAAAGTGATAAAATAAAGAGGGATAATTTTGTATGATTTTTCCAAAAATATCCTTAATGTGAAGGGTAAAAGCAGGATATGATGTGTAGATTATTAGTAAAAAAATATAATGTGATAGGTAGGGTATGAAAAGTAAGGAGTAAAAGTGATTTTTAATAGAAATGAGAAGGAGCTTTGGGGACAAGGTTTTTTTGAAGTAAAATTTGCACTAAATAGGACTAAAACATAATGATTTTCCCAATGTAGGACTTAAACTTTTTTATTCTCTAAATAGGACTTAATAATGACCTCGTAGGAGGAATAATGGTCAGTAATGATAAACATTTACTTGAATAATGACTACTTGATAATGACCAAAAATCCTACATTGGGAAATAAAAACACATGGTCCTATATTGGAAAAGTCATTATGTTTTAGTCCTATTTAAGTAAATTTCTCTTTTTTGAAACGTGAAAGACTTTTTAGAACGGAGAGAATATATTTCTTCCGAGTTTGATTTTTTTTGCTTAACATTTTAAAATTTTGACCATAAATTATGAAAAAAATAATTGAATTGTATGTGATTTAAACTTTGATATGTCTAGATTCTTTTTAAAACATAGTTTTAAAATATACTACCTCCGTCCCACTCTCTTTGTCCATTTTTGACTTTTGGAACTATTCATCTAAGCACTTTGACTCATCAAATTCTCTCAATGTATAAGCCTAAATATAGTCATGTGTGATCTTATTTGATTTGTCTTAACATATAGATTATTAATATATAATTTCTATAATTTTTTAATATACAAATTACAAGATAAAATGGATTAAAGAAGTGCAATGGATGGTGTGCCAAAAAGTAAGTGGACAAAGAGAGTGGACGAAGGGAGTATTATTTTATTAGGACTAAGGGCCTGTTCTTTTGGACTTGAACTCTTAACTTCTAGTTTTTTTCCAGTTCCTTCCAGTTTTTTTAGTTTCTTCCAGTTTCTTCCAGTTCTTTATTTTTTCTGTAGTATTCCCTTTGAAAAACGTAAAAAGGTTTTAGCCGCCAGGGCACAAGTAGCTAGGGACATTGTTTGGAATATTACACCCTCCCTCTTAAATTAATATTCATAATTTGACTTTGTGCAGAATTTAAAAAAATTACAATTATCAATCGAAAGTGATGTAGAGAAGAGAGAAAAAAAGTGAGTCACAAAAAAAACTTTCCAAAAAAGGAAAGAGGAAAATTAATTTGAGACAATCCAAAAAAATAAGATTAATTTAGGACGGAAAAATATTAAAATTTAATTACACCTTAATTGATAAAGAGTGAAGCTTAGCATTGAGTAATTCAGAATCACCAATTCCAGTTGAAGAATGCATGATTCATGTACTAGGGTCTAGCCGTCTAGGGATGGGCAAATCCATCTCTATGTAATTTTCTCGAACAAGATTGAGCTTATTTAGAAAGGAAAAAAAAATGAGCCCCATCTTTAAGCACTACCTCAAATCCGATTGGACGATTGTTAAAAGAAGATAAAATAATTTAGCTTTTTTAGATAATTCCAGTAAATACTATCTCAAACTCATCACTCTGAAAAATTCTACTCTCTGTTCCATGTTGGATGTTACACTCCGAACGTGTAAAATCTCATTATTTTTAATATCATTTTAATTACAAATTAGTACAGAAATAAAAGGTATAAATTACACCAATTAAAAGTTCATAAAAAATTCTATAAACAAGAGATGATAAAAATATTTTATTCAAATAATCAATGAAAATATAGAAACAAAAGTAAATTAAGAGAAATAAGAACAATCAATTTTACCAACAGAACACTGCCCCAAGTCACTTTAAGGTCACATTACCTTGGGTCAAAAGAACCGTGCTGATTTTTAATTAATGTTATTGTATTCTTAGTAATAAGCTAAAGAAAGTGCTCTTGTGAACTTGAGGGATGTTTGGCATTGGGCTATATCAAACTGATGCCAAAAACAACACCAAACTAAACTAAATAAATTGGCGCCTGACTTATTCCACAATTACGAAAGATGCCATCCAACAATTCATCTACCACTCCAAAAAAAAATCTACTTAGGTCACACTCTCTCCACCTGAACTTAATGATTCTAATTTGATTAGAATACATTCTAATCTGTTCTAAATTTATTTATATTTAAAGTTGTTTCTGATCTGGTCTAATCTAATCCGAACTGATCTGATTTTGACAAGAAAAAGTAATACTCCCTCCGTTCTAAAAAAGAATCTCTATTTTGACCCAGTGTAAAAATAAGAAAGTGTTAAAATGTAGTTGACTTTCAATTTTGTCCTTGATGTGATGTGTAAAAGTAAGATGTGATATGTAAAAATAAGATGTGATAAATAAATTATTAAAAAAAGTATGATGTGATAGGTAGGGTATGAAAAAATAATGGTAAAAGTAGTTTTTTAAATGAAAGTGGAAATGTTTTGTTGGAAGTGAAAAAAATGAAAGAGGAAGTGTTTTTAAGAACAAAGAGAGTAAGTAATAAGAATAAGTTGAAGAGAACATGACCTTATGCATATAGGAGTGAGATTTAAGTAATTGCGTAGTATTTTTTTTACTGTTGGTTATTCATCCACCACTTTATTTTGTGTTATTTTCTTTTAAATTTTGTGTGCTACAATGTCTTTTGTATCCTGAGTTGTTGGTGGCTTTCAAGCTGCCATGGAGTACCGGAGTTCATCTGCTCAAGGCTCAATCCATACTCAACGCCCAACCCCTATGGCAGATGAATACTCCGTAATTGGGCAAATGAGAAGATGAACTTTGATACTGTATGACAACAACAAAAAAAACCACCTACACGGCAGGATACAAAAGCCATTGCAATAAACAAAACAAAAAATCAACATAGAATAAAGCGGCGAATGAATGACCAACCACACAAAAATAAAGAAAAAAAGCCACTAAACTATTACTCACATCCCACTCCTATGTGAATAGAAGTGAAGTTCTTCTTGAAGCCATGGAAGAATAGTTGGGTGTGGCATCCCTGATAGAAGTGACATTTTAGTTTGATGGGAATATCGCTTAGCTCGGTGCAACTGTGATCTCAGTCATCCCACAAGAGGGTAGACTAAAATATGAGGGGCGAGCCAGTGGTTGTAGCCTCTCAAGTACGTCGTCCATATCCCTGTCGAAAAAACAAAACAAAAAAAAAAGCACGCTCCCTACGCAGGCATTATCCTGTTCAGGTTCAAAGGGACTTTCTCAGCCTGTTCAGCCACGTCACCCTGGCTGATACAGACACCCCTGGTGCATTTCTATGTCAAATCATCGTTCCAACAAACAAACACACACAGAGCGCAGGTACATATTTGAAGGGTTTACATTATTATTGATAAAAGAGATGGAGGTTCTGAAACAACAACAAAAAAGTTCGAACTTCACTGTTTTATTGCACACAAATCAAAACCAAATACTTACTTACCATGAAAGGATTGAGATCTTGAGCCTTGTTTGAATGGCTAGTATTGCAGCAGAAGATCAAAACCCGTTCCTTCAGAATATATCCTTATCCTACAAAGTCATTTGGCAAGTTATTATTTACTCCGTCCATAGTTTTTTTTACCATGCGTAGTATTTTATGAGACAAACAGTTCTTAAATGAGAATGTGAATATCAGCTCCATTCATGGTTTTTTTTCTTCACATTTTCACTCTAAGTTTCTTTGTCCTTTAATATGCATGTCATTTCACCTTTGTTACACTACCAAACCAAACCATGAAAACAATTAAACAAACCCAAAATCCTACTGTTACAACTTACTAGTCATGGGTCAAGTTGCTTATCATTCGAAGTGTATTACATTTGAATACAAAGTATTATGTAATTGTTAAATGGTCATATCAGTCAAGGAACCAACTCAACAAAAAGCTTAAGCTTGTGGTTGTATGCCAATTAAAGGGTTTTACATTCTAAAACTATCACCACTTACAAGTTACAACTCATTACTATTGCAAAGTATAATGTTCATTCATATAGAGAGAGTAAACATGCTGAATGGGTATAGCCGAATAGGAAACTATATATAATACTACTAAAAGTCTTAACACTTACCTCATTTAGATCTTCAAAGAGTCAATGTAACTGGTTGGGAGATAGATTTCCCCTCCAACCTCACCGTGTTGTTCCCCACTCACAGTTTTCTTTGCAGCTTGGAACTGTGCACTCATAGCATCCATCCCATGCTGGATAGCTTCCTCTGCATTTCCATACCCGTGTTCCTCGGCATACTTCCTTATATCCTCAGTGATCTTCATAGAACAGAACTTCGGCCCACACATGGAGCAGAAATGTGCCACTTTAGAACCGTCCGACGGGAGAGTTTCATCGTGGAAGGCCATGGCTGTGACTGGGTCAAGCGACAAAGCGAACTGGTCCATCCACCTGAACTCAAACCTCGCCTTGCTTATAGCATCATCCCAAGCTTGTGCATGAGGGTGACCTTTTGCTAGATCCGCAGCATGCGCAGATATCTTATATGATATAACTCCCGTTTTCACATCATCCCGATTTGGCAAGCCGAGATGCTCTTTTGGAGTGACATAACAAAGGAGAGCGGTGCCGAGCGATCCTATATTGGCTGCACCTATGGCTGAGGTTATGTGGTCGTATCCGGGCGCTATGTCAGTGGTGAGTGGTCCAAGGGTGTAGAAAGGTGCTTCATTACACCACTCCAACTGTTTCTGCATGTTTTCTGGAATCTTGTGCATTGGGATGTGTCCAGGCCCTTCATTCATTACCTGAATCACATGAGAGTTAACAGTTGCATTCAAGAAGACATAGAGAACCCACATTATCTAAACTCTAAAGGGATTGTGCAGTTGGAGTTTCCTTATCCTTCTTTGAAAATGCGATTCTATGACAACCACATCGATATAGGCCATGTTTGGGAACAACGTATTTAACCAGTTTAGTGCTAGAGCTAAACGTTGTCATTAGATAGTCTTTTCAAAACAATGAAGCTCATGCCAAACAGGCACATAGAAAGACTGGGATACATTTACCTGCACATCCTTTTCCCAAGCTCTGCGCGTCAATTCTCCTTGAGTTAAGAGCTCGGCAAATTGAGCACTGTCATTTGCATCATAAATGGATCCCGGTCTCAGCCCGTCACCGATGGATAAAGATACATCATATTGATTGCATATATCTAATATGTCATCCCAATGCTCATAAGCGAAATTCTCCTTGTGATAGGCTAAGCACCACTTTGCATGTATGGAGCCTCCGCGGGAAACAATCCCAGTCATTCGCTTTGCAGTCAAGGGAATGTACCGGAGCAAGACACCGGCATGGATGGTGAAGTAATCAACCCCTTGCTCAGCTTGCTCAATCAACGTGTCTCTAAAAACTTCCCAAGAAAGCTTCTCGGCGACCCCACCAACTTTTTCCAATGCTTGGTAGATCGGCACGGTCCCCACGGGGACAGCGGAGTTGCGCAAGATCCATTCGCGTGTCTCGTGGATGTGATGCCCCGTGGAGAGGTCCATGATAGTATCTGCACCCCAAATCGTTGCCCATTGCAGTTTTTGCACTTCTTCCTCAATGGAACTAACGACAGCTGAATTCCCGATGTTGGCATTGACTTTGACCAAGAATTTCCTTCCTACAACCATTGGCTCCAACTCTAAGTGCTTTTTGTTTGAAGGAATGATTGCACGTCCACGGGCAACCTCGGACCGCACAAACTCCGGGTCGAGTTTCTCACGGGCAGCACAAAATGTCATCTCCTCAGTTATGATTCCCTGTTTTGCATAGAACATTTGAGTGTACCTCGGCCCACCCATCTTCTCCCTTCTATCAATCCACTCCTTGCGTAACTTGGGGAGTCCTACTCCACAAAACCATTTCAAAAGCATCATTGTTAGAGTATATCACACATCGGAGAAAATCAATGGCATTCAAATATAAGCTACACTTCCTAACAATTTAGTCTCATACATACTCTATATATTACTCCGTATATCATTGTGCTTGTTGGATTTATTTAAATTTGAAAGAAAAAAAAGATACTCCGTATTATGTTAAAAACAGGGCACTCTAAATGACTTTCATACCGGCGCGCGGGTTAATGCCCTGGGGACCGCTTGTATCGTAAGTGTCAAAATGAAAATTATCTCCTGTAAGGTGGATGCGCCGAAATGGGACTTGGAGAACATGACCAGATTGCCCATCAACAATCACCCTGATAATGCCACATCCAATGGTTAAACCACAATCGAGAAAACAAACCAGGAATGAGAGAATTTATTTATATTAAAAAAAATTAAGAAAGGAGGATGGAAGTTAAAGAGTACTTGTGCTCTTTTGAGCTCTTTGGGAAGCACTCTTCAAACGATGGGAGGGGAAGAAAGTTTGGGGCATTGGGGTCGACAGTATGCTTCCTTTGCTTTGGTTTCTCGCCATTACTGGCCACTTTTGGGCCTGAAAAAGAACTGAGACAAACAAACTTTCTTCCCAAACCAGAAATATGAGCACAGGGCAGGGAAGAACTGCTAGGAAATTTGATCGGAGAAGAGTTGTTCAGATTCTTGCCCACAGTTGAGGAGGCCAAAGTAAGCTGAACAGAAGCCATCTGTCAAAAACAACAATTTCAATTTTCAGGCAATAAGTCTTCTTCTTCTTCTTTTCTTCGTGTGCAGATAATTAAAAAACCCCAGCAGGAAGAAAAACCAACGGTGACCCAGAAATCCAAAAGGTAATTACTATGAAAACCAGTAAGACCATACCCTAGAATCCATTACCCTGATCCCTAAAATGATTGAGAAGAACGATTCATAAAATTGCTGAAGAAAAGGGATGGGTGAAGTGATACGAATACGAACCTCAAGTTGGAAGCTTTTGCCTCCCAAATAATCTGAAAAGGGATCGTCGCTGAGCGATGATGATCACTGTTGAGTGGCGACGGAGGCTTAACAAAGGGAGCAGCAGCACCTGACCCTAAATTAAAGAAGAGATAAATTAAACGGAGGAGAAGTATTGAAAACTTGAGGAGGGAGAAGGATTTGTGGTGGGGATTGTAGGATAATTATGTCTAATAAGATTTATCCTACTTAGGCCCTGTTCTGTTCAACTTATTTTTTCTTATTTTTTTTATTCTTATTAAAATCAGATTAGATCAAATCAGATCAGATCGAATCAGATCAGATCCAATCAGATCAGAACTTATTAAAATCAGATCCCATCAAGAATTATTATTATTATTATTATTATTATTATTATTATTATTATTATTATTATTATTATTATTATTATTATTATTATTATTATTATTATTATTATTATTATTATTATTATTATTATTATTATTATTATTATGATCATCATCATCATCGCCATTATTTTTACTATTGTTCTTAAAAATGAAAAAGAATAAACTTTAGAAATAAGTTAAATAGAAAACTGAGAAAGTAATCCTTAATTATTAGACGTCAGAGATTTAGTTTTAAAATACATTGATAATGTCAATCTAATTCTACTTTTAAAATATATTTTTATTGCTACTTTTAATTTGAGTTTCTAAACTTTTGATCTTTTATAAGGATGATATATTTTAATAAAAATACTATCTCTTCTATATATTGATTATCTAAATTTAATAACTTCTTAATGTATATCTAAATTAAATATTTATTCTAATGTATAATTCTAATTTTAAGACATTGTCGTAAAAAAATAATCATAAAATAAAAAATATTACTCCGTATTACATTATAATATGATTGATTATTCTAATATGTGAATTAACTATTTTTATTTTATTAAAAAATAATCATTAAATAAAAAATATTGATTATATTATAATATGAATGATCATTACAATTTTCAAAGGTTATTATAAAGTCAAATTAAATTATTGATTTGAAATTTTAAATTGAATCATAATTAATCAGATCAGACCAGACCAGATCAGATCAGATCCAATCAGATCAGATCAGATCCAATCAGATTCAGATCAGATCAAATCCAATCAGATCAGATCAGACCATATCAGATCAGAACTTATTAGAATCAGATCAGATCAGAAAAAAATAAGTTGAACGGAACGGAGCCTTAGTGGTATACTCACCAACTTTTATTATGCACACCGACATTTGGGAATATCTAAGTGTTCCAATTCGAATACACCTCCATCCTCTTAATTGCATTTTTAAAGTTAATTTTGATTTTTAGAGAGGGTAAGAGTTATATTCGAGTGTAATTGAAAGGGGTGAAGGAGTATTCGGGTCGGAGCAGATTAGGAGATTTATCGGAGAATTACGAAGGGTAGTACTCTCTCCGTCCACAAATAAATTTTACATTGCGCGTTACGATGTTTGACTGAAGTTATTTTCAAATGATTTTATATGAAAAATGGTGTAGAATTGAAAAATAAAAATTACATATTAAAAAACTATATCAAAAGATTTACAAAACTAGAGATGACATGACTATATTATTTTATCAAATGTGTGACAAAAATATGCCAAACCAAAACAGAACCAAACAATAACGGTTCGATTCAGTTTTTTTACATTCAGTTTGGTTTTTTGATTTGGTTTTTTTCTAACTCGATTTCGGTTCGGTTTTCGATTTCGGTTTTCTCGACCCCTAGTAGGGGGAGGTGAAGATTTCAAGATAAAAAATTAGGAACCCTTAATTTTAAGACTGGGCTGGACCCAAGGTTTACATTGGGTTTGAATGTGAACCCCTCCTAACAAAAATAGGTGCCAGAGAGAAGACTAATGCGAAAGGAAAACATACAGAGAGAGACGTATGGCTAGGGAAATAAATCAAGGGATGAAGGGGGAGAGGGATGAAGGAATTGCGTTAGCTGCGAAAGATGGGTGTGGAGAATCAGACTTGAAGCCAGAGTCCAGGTCGAAGCGTCGCCGCCGCGGATCAGGTTTAAACCATCAGTGCAATTACGCATGTGTTCCAATTTCATGAAATTTGCTTTGTTTCAATTTTGTTGGTGTGAATGTAGATCGGACGCTGGAGCTGTTAGGAGAGAAGGTATGCTTTCCTAATGTATCCAAGAGTCGACATCAACATATCAAACAGTTGGTCTGGTCTTCCCGCTCCACTGATCTTTCCGACCTCCCTAGGGCAGACGCCCTAAGAAAGGAAGATAAGATCAGCTCATTTTTTGACACCGAACGCCCCCTTTATTCCCAATCCTGGATAGATGTGCCCAATGTTAAGGTGGGCAAACAACTGGATGTTTTAGATTTGCTAGGGGATAAACTCTTGAGTTTCAAACAAAGTGTTCCCAGCTTTCGGCCCACCAAATTCAGAAGGTGTGTGGATTCGTGTGATCCGAATATCGGTGCACATAGGGGTTTGAAGGGTGGTCGTGATGTTCTAAGGGTTCAACCCCACAAACTCCGTAGTATTAGCATGGAGAGCACCCTAAACCTGAAGGGTAAATACATCATGATTTGTTGTGTGTTTGCGCCTTTGGTGTGGATGGAGGTCAAGCAGTGGGGACCTGGCTCATTGCATAGCTTTAGCTTCTCATGAGCTTGCTAAAAGAGATGATTTCGTGCTAGTTGTGGTGCCAATGATGAGGATGGGTTTCACTGAATCTCGCTCTGCCTATCTACACTTCTTGTCGGGCTTTTCCTGCCATGCTGTCCCTTTCCGTGACTCTCTTCGGCGCGAGTACATTTGCTCAGCGCTCGGTTTCTATGGTTTAACCAAAGCTGTGATTCTAGATCCATCTCAGAAGGTCCTTTTCCATGGCGCACCCTCCATGTTCTTTCACTTTGGAGGAGATGAGCATGATTTCTTTCCCTTTACTCCAGAGAGGGGAGATTTGTGCGCGCCGTTTTGTTGATCTCGATGGTCTCTCCCTCAATGAGCTTTTGGGCCTTGGGGACACTGATGTTCTGTGCAATATGTTGAAGGATGCTCGTACTACAGTGTCAGAACTTAAACAGAAGCTTGTGGGGCTTTACGTGTGCTTTGATTGTAGAAGTTTAGGGACGATTCAGGAGGTCCGCGAGGAATGTAGGCGGCAAAAGTATGAGCTTGAGGTTGTGGTGGTTTGCTGCCCCCCTCCTCGGGTGCCCCCAAGGTTGCAGCAGGAGTTGGTCATGGATGCTCTTGCAAGTCATAAGATGCTAGATGTGTGGTTTTTTCCCTTCAACAACACCGTATCCCAAAGGCTAGATCAAATGCGTGAAATTGACAGTTTTGAGGAAGGTCTCTTCATAGTGGACTCTAAAGAACAGTATGTTGATACCTATGGATTAGCAATCATCCATGACTTTGGCATTGGCTGTTATCCTTACACCAGGAGGACTTTGGTTCAGAAGGAGTTTCAAAGGTTAAGGGGACTGAGATTGAGCTCGTTACTACTTCCTTGGGAACATGTTTGTCGCAAGCCTGATGATTCCACCAGCTCAGTCGATGAGATTCCTGTGGCACAAGCGCTTAACAACAACAAGATTGTTCTTCTTTATCTATACACAGAGCGCTATAAATCTCGAGCTAAAAAATTGGCTGAGTTTACGTGGCGTGAAAAGAATACTAGGAGAAAGCCTTCAAACGTTGAGGTGGTTGCTGTAAGCATAGATGGTAGCGGCACTAGTGATAAAGACTTCATGGAGAAGGGGTTGTTGGTATGCAGTGCAGACCCAACCAAGTCAGCTAAACTTTGTGCTGATTTCTTCCACCCAGCTCTCTGCGGGCCACACGAGACTCTTGCTGCTTTTGATGAAGATGGCAGGATTACATCCATGAACGCTTCTCAATTCTTGGAAAAATCACCAGGTTCTCCTCATCCTCCTTTCCATGGCAATCTGCGTGAAGAGATTCGTGAAGAATTTAATGAGGCTATGTTTCTTTACATGCTCCACTGCTAACACTTCATGAAGATTTTACATGACCCTTGCATGCTATGTAGCACTGAAACGGAGACGGGGACGGAGACGAAACGAAACGGACACGCCGAAACGGCTATTTTGAAAAAATGAAGAGACGAAGCGCCGGGGAAACGCGAAATTTATATATATAAATTTTATATATAAATAAATAAATAAACAGATATGTGTGTGTGTGTGTGTGTGTGAGACATTTTTAACTGTATTTTTAGAGATGAACCAACATACTGATTTTCAACAAGTAAATTTGGAAGAAAAAGTATATGAATTTCACAAAAAAAAACAGTCCTGCGTAGTACAAATATGAATCGTATCTTTGAAATTTTCCAATCTAGAAGTCACTTGACCAGCGGCGTAAGCTTCTCCCTTTGTCGGAGAGAAGCTTATTGGGAGAGAAGTCTTCTCCCTTTGGGCAAGTAGTTGGCGACAGTTCATCGAACCAGCTGCATAAGCTTCTTCGAGGGCTGTGGTCGATTGCTGTTGGGTGAATATGAGATAACGGCGTAACATAGAGGAGTGATGGGGATTTAGGGCCCCATAAAACTTTCTATAATTTGGGTAAGTTCCAAAACTTTAAAATTTATTAAAAGAATCCCATTTTTTAAAAAGAGGTGTCCATGCTGTTTCCCAAAAGAGACATGCGTGTCCCAGCCGTGTCTTAGGCGTTTTTTCCCCTTTTTTTAAAATTAAAATTACAGAAACGCCACGTGGAGTTTCCGAGACGTCTCCTGGCGTGTCCGTGGCATGTCGGCGTGTCCAAGGTGTCCGAAACGGGTACGGCAGCCTATATGGAGTTTCCGTGCAACATAGCTTGCATGTTTTATTGTACTATGGAGTATAATTTAGATTATGAAACTTTAGTTAATTAGATCGTCCAATAGTTTAATTTAATTACTGTGATGTTTTTTTTGAGTTGAAATTGTTGAGTTGAATTAATATAACACTCCTTCAAGGGTTTTCTTTTCGGTTCTCACTCTTGATGTATTTACTGAACCGACATTTTTAGGATTTATTAATGATGTAGTTATGTTTCATAAAATTTTATAATGGTGTTCAAAGCTGTTAAAACTCCACATTTCAGTTTTAAAATGTCTCCCTATTAATATCAGTTTTCCTTACCAGCCACTCCAAGCTAAAATAATTAACTTG